CCCGCCTCGGCCTCCCAAAGTGCTGGGATTACAGGCTTGAGCCACCGTGCCCGGCCTCACTTTCATTCTTAATGTCTTCTCATTCCTTTGTCGCCACCGAACTCAGGGTATCCACAGGTGGAGTGTGGGGCTGGTTCTCTACATGTCCTCCAGGCTGGATCACAGTGGTGTGATCTTGGCTCACTGCAACCTCCGCCTGCCGGGTTCAGGCAATTCTCCTGCCTCAGCCTCTGGAGTAGCTGGGATTACAGGCACGTGCCACCACGCCCAGCTAATTTGTGTATCCTTAGTAGCGACAGGTTTTCGCCATGTTGACCAGGCTGGTGTTGAACTCTTAATCCTGTGATCCGCCTGCTTCAGCCTCCCAAAGTGCTGGGATTAAATATAATAAATACCAAACCAACAGAACCACAATTTTACCAAGGCTCTCGTGGTTTACTGGTACCTATGATTGAGGTGGCGACTATTTTCCTCTTGCCTTTAAAAAATAGAAGTTTGCCGGGCGCGGTGGCTCACGCCTGTAATCCCAGCACTTTGGGAGGCTGAGGCGGGTGGATCACGAGGTCAAGAGATCGAGACCATCCTGGTCAACATGGTGGAACCCCGTCTCTACTAAAAAAAAATACAAAAATTAGCTGGGCATGGTGGCACGTGCCTGTAATCCCAGCTACTCAGGAGGCTGAGGCAGAAGAATTGCCTGAACCCAGGAGGTGGAGGTTGCGGTGAGCCGAGATCGCGCCATTGCACTCCAGCCTGCGGAACAAGAGCGAAACTCCGTCTCAAAAAAAAAAAATAAATAAAAATAAAAATAAAAGATAGAAGTTGATCACCATAAAATCCTTGCTTAACCTATTTTTGTGAACTCCATTTATTTATTTATTTATTTATTTATTATTTTTGAGACTGAATCTTGCTCTGTCATCCAGGCTGGAATGCAGTGGTGCAATCTCAAATCACTTCAACCTCCGCCTCCTGGTTTCAAGCGACTCTCCTGTCTCAGCCTCCTTAGTAGCTGGGATTACAGGTGCCCGCCACCATGCCTGGCTAATTTTTTTATTTTTAGTAGAGATGGGTTTCACCATCTTGGCCAGGCTGGTCTTGAACTCCCAACCTCGTGATCTACCTGCGTCGGTCTCCCAAAGTGCTGGGATTACAGGCATAAGCCACCATGCCCAGTCCCTGAACTCCATTCTTACACCCATCACCTGAGTTAGGCCTACGCCAAGCACAGGAAATCAGCTCACTGCCAGACAACAGAAAGCAAGCAGGTTTCAGAGCTGCTCCACCTGCTGTCAGCTGTGGGACTTACATAACCACTTCATAAACCAGAATTTCTGTCCTTTAAAATGCCTGGCCCTTTTGATGCCATAGCAGTATACACTACCAAATCCAGGCCTTATATTGACCTACGTTCTTTTTTTGTTTCTTTGAGATGGAGTCTTGCTCTGTCACACCCAGGCTGGAGTGCTGTGGCACTCAGCTCATCACAACCTCCGCCTTCTGGGTTCAAGTGATTCTCCTGCCTTAGCCTCCCAAGTAGCTCACAGGTGCCCACCACCATGCCCGACTAATTTTTTGTATTTTTTTAGCAGAGACGGGGGTTTCACCATGTTGGTCAGGCTGATCTCGAACTCCTGACCTCAGGTGATCTGCCCACCCTGGCCTGCCAAAATGCTGGGATTACAGGTGTAAACCACTGCACCCGGCTGTATTGATGTGGTTTTTTTTTTTTTTTTTGAGACATAGTCTTGCTGTCACCAGGCTGGAGTGCAGTGGCGCAATCTCGGCTCACTGCAACCTCTGCCTCCTGGGCTCAAGCAATTCTTCTGGTGCAGCCTCCTGAGTAGCTGGGAACACAGGTGCATGTAACCACACCCGGCTAATTTTTCTATTTTTAGTAGAAACAGGGTTTCACCATGTTGGCCAGGATGGTCTCAATCTCTTGACCTCGTGATCTGCCCACCTCAGCCTCCCAAAGTGCTGGGATTACAGGTGTGAGCCACCGTGCCCGGCCTAGTTTTTTATTTTTTAAGACAGGGTTCTTGCTCTGTCACCCAGGCTGGAGTGTAGTGGTGTGATCACGGCTTACTGCAGCACCTACTCACCAGGCCCAAGCAATCCTCCTACCTCAGCCTAACAAGTAGCTGGGACTACAGGTGTCTACCACCATGCCCAGCTAATTTTTTTTTTTTTGTATAAACAGGTCTCCCTATGTCGTCCAGGCTGGCCATGAACTCCTGGGGTTCAAGCAGTTCTGTCTCAGCCTCCTGAAGTGCTGGGACTACAGGCTGAGTCACCAAGCTGGGTCCCTAGCTCTCATTTTAAATGGCTGTGTAATGTGATGATGACAGCACCTACCTCAAGGTGTTGCTGTGAGGACTAAATGGGTATGTTCTCAGTTAACATTAGTGTGATTATCTTGTGAGGACAGAAGCTGGTTCCGCTTCTACCCCTTTCTATCCTGCTCATTGGTGGCTGGGTCCTCAGTGCCCCAAATAAAGCCTGTTATACAGAAGATGCTCAGGTACTTACTGTGTGAACCCCTGGGGACTACATGGAAAATCTCTCCTCTTGACTTCGCTAGAAGGTGCTCTTTGTCTCTTAAGGCCATAGTATCCTGCCCCACTGATCTGCAGGAGTGGTCTTGTGCATGGGTGATCCTTTGCTACTGGCCTTGCTGCTCCAGTAAAAACATTCACTAGTGGGCTGGAAACGATGGCTCATGCTTGTAATCCCAGCACTTTGCGAAGATAGCATGAATTCAGGAGTTCAAGACCAGTCTGGACAACACGGCAAGACCCTGTCTCTACAAAAAAATACAAAAATTAGGTGAGTGTGGTGGCATACACTGGTCCCAGCTACTCAGAAGGCTGAAGCGGAATGATCACTTGAGTCCAAAAGTGGAGGCCGCAGAGAGCAGAGATCATGCCACTGTACTCCAGTCTGTGTGATAGAGTGAGACTATCAAAACAAAACAAAAAACACTCACTAGTGACCAATTCCTTCTGTGTCCCCCATGGACTGGAGGCTCCTGGAAGGTAGAGCACAAGCATCACTTGCATACTACTGCATGCCCAGGTGCCAAGCATGGGGGTTGGCACACCTGAGGTCCACAGGAAGAGCTGTGGAGTTCAGACTGGCAATGTATGAGGCCTCTTCTGGCCACAGATACCCTGTGCATGCTGCCGACAGTTATTGAGCCTCCACTTTACCCTCGAGCTACCTAACATTGACATTGCTGCCACTCCTGACACCACAAATGTGGTCCCCTTAATCAATCCAAACCCCATTTCCTGTCTTTCACTCTTGAGGTTATACTCCACACTTCAGTTTCTATCCCAAGCTGTCTCTTCATAAGCCTTAGGACTCCCATGAAGCGAGTTTGTCCTGCCATACTCCACAGCCCTACACTCCCATGTCTGCTTTAGAGAGGCCCAGAGATCTCAGAATGGGGGGTTTGGGACATTTATATCAGTACTCTACTACAACCCTGGGATCTGTTTGTGTTGGGGAATGATTCAGCCTGTACACAGGGAGGGAGACGAGAACTGAAAACTGCCAGGATTTTCTACTTTCATCCACTGGGATCGCTTACAGGTGCCCTCCCCACTGACAGCCAGAAAGGGAAAACAGAGATGAATTTGGCCAGTGGGGCCTCCACAGCCCTCTGGAAGGGGCTGACTGATAGGAAGGTACTCCTCTGGTGTTCACTGGCCAGACCCCTATGGGCTCAGAAGACTACCTAGACCCCATGAATAAAGACTCTAGACACATTTTTATAATCAGAAACTTAGTTTATTGTGAATAAACCACTCAACTTTGAGCAGATGACATTGCCTCAATTAACTTTTTCTTTGAAGAAAAACAAATAGATATGGTAAATTCATGAAAATACTGTGTCCCTTCTCTTCTGCCCTTTGTAGGGCAGAAAAATTCTGCCTGACCTTTCCCATCTTCCTGATGATGTTAACAAACGACAGCCACTTACTTGGGGCACAGGAGGCGGCTCTACACAGGCCAAGAGCTACAGGCTACAGACTGAGCACAGAAAACCCTGCAGCTCCAGCATCCAGGGCCACAGCTGCACACAAGTGCAGAATCCAGTAGCCCTACAGCCCAGACAATGCCCAGGGTGTGATTCAGGGTGCAGAGCTGCAACTCAGATACTGTGCCACGGTGGTATCACAGGAAGGACTTGATGGAGAAGTAAAGGCTCCAGACGCCAGGATATTTATTCCTTGTGCCAACACACCATTCATACCTGACCTCTAGGTCCTGCAGCAGGTCCTCTCCTCGTTCACAGCCCCCCACTGTTCCATTCTGGGTTCATTTGCTATACTCCTAATTTGTTCTCCCAATCCACCCCACAGTCCTTTCCTTGCTGGGAACACAGGAAGAGACAAAACCTGAGAAGGGAGAAAGGGAACCTCCAACTAGCCATGGACCTCATGATTCCAAGAATTACAGCTATCATTTGTCTTCAAGAATGGCTCTGTTTTATAGCTCACATGGTAACTGGGAAATTGCTGACTTGCAGGTGAAATGTATGAATATCAAAGAATTTCTATCACAATATTCACAGATCTCTGTATTAGCTCTCCCTGGAGGTCAAGCAGGCCTGGTACAGTACAGACTGCTCTGCCTGGCCTAGAGTGGAAGCACTGAACAAAGCCACAAAAACCTCAGAGATCACAGATCTAACTTTTCAAAGGCCCCCCAGTACCAGATTCAGGATAGGTAGGACACCAGGCAAACTACCTGCTCCCTTGCACTTCACTGTGCAAAAGCTGGTCTGTTCCTCTGACCAGACCTTCCTAGTACAGGATCTGGGACCACAAACCAAGGAGTCCCGTGGCCTTGGACTCCCAGACCCCAGGATGGATGGTATCCTCTGACAGCTGGAACCAGGCAAGGGGGAATACACCTCAGCCTCAGGGCAGCCTCTGGGCACACTCTAGGTAACATGAAAATAACTTGTGCAAACCTGGCCCCCATGTCAGGAAGGCCAGTGCCCTAAGGAAGGCTATGCTGAATTCTGACCTTGATGTTTGCCAGAGGAGAATGCAGCAAGACAGTGTGAGGTATGGCCAAGTATGAACCTGCTCAGAGCTATACCACTTGAATACTGGCAAAAAAGAAAGGACCAAGGTAAAGCAAATTTATTTGGGAGGAACAATTCCCTTCAAAAGTAGATCCCTATCTTTAGGAGACAAAAGGAAAACACTGTGCTGGACCTATGTCCCCTAGTTTGGAGGGCCACCGGCCCACCTCCATTCTGCTGTGGGCTCTAGCCCCAGTAGCCAGATCCCGCTAAACCTCAGTTTCAAGAATAAATGTGAGCCACAGACATGCAGCACCACCAGAGACAACAACACCACATGGCAAGAAGACCGTGTTCTGGACCGTCTCCATACTGCCACGGTAAGGCAGAAGACATGCTGTGACTCCTTGTGCTCTGTGCCCATTGCACAGGCCAGTTCAATTCCCTACCATCTGCCACCCATGCTCTTCCCTTGGGACTCCAACTCCAGCCAAACAAATGTGAATATGGAAAGCAGAGGCCCAGGGCCCTCTTGTAGTACAGACATTTTGAGGTGGGTAGGCAACATATGTTACATTCTAAGTAAAACAGCTAGAGGGTAAAACACTCCAACGCCAATTTATTTTCAAAAAGGGCTCTGTGTTATCCTATAGAGTTTGCCTTTTTTTTTTCTTTGTATAATTGTACAACCTTTGAAAGTTACATAAGTTGTAATGATCTAATACTAATAATAGCCATTCAGAAAACACTTTCCCTCCCTCCCAACAACCATCCAGGGGGAAATAAAAGTCCTGAAAAGAGGCCAGTTCAACATGGCCTCTACCCTGGTAGAAACAAAAAGTGAAAAGAGAAAAAAAACAGAAATCAACTAAGAGGTGTTGCCAGTGTCTCTCAGGAGTGGGGCCCTGGCTGTCGCCTGGGGTCATGAAAGGCAGAGCCTACAGCATGCAGTACAGCAGCTGGGAGACCTTGCAGCCACATCTTCCTCACCCCAGCACATCCACATCCCAACTTAGGTGTCATGGAAATCCTTCAGCAGGGTTCTCCTCCGCTGCTCCGCTATATGCATCTGGTTCTCCAAGTCCTGCATCACAGAAACAAGGTGTCTGCTTGCATGGCCCAGGCCTGGGAGCAAGAAGTAGACAAAGCCGCAAACACCCTCCAGGGCCTCCAAGGAGTCAAAAGCACTGCCCTTCCCATTCTTAGTAGCAGCTTCCAGTGCACAAACCAACAACCCTGTCACCTATTAGCATGCCAGTCCTTCTTTACCTGCAATATAGAATCCAAGAGGACAGTAGGCACTTACCCCTCTGTCATAGCTGTCTGCCCGTTCCACTTTCCATGAGAGGTTTTCAATCTCAGCCTCCAGCTGAGCCTGCTGGTATTCAAACTGCATAGGCAGAGCAGGAGGGTCAAAAGGTCAGTGGGCTATGGGTAGGGCAGGGCCTATATAGATGGGGGTGGGGGAGGTGGGACACACGTAACACCTCAGGCTCACAGAAACTACAGACAATCCTGATAGTGTCCTCAAAAAGTGCTGTTATTCCATGTTCCCAGAGCCAGAATCGAAAAAAAAGGCTATCCAAACAGCAAGGCCACACTCACCCTTCACCTGCAAAAGGTTAACTCTATCCTCCACACTTCCAAAAGAAGGGGAAAAATTTAAGCCACTAAAGAGAATGCTCCCAATATGAAAGGGAACGGATGCTGTAAAAAATAAGTCAAACGAATATTCTCAGATACTATCATTTCATTTTTTTTCCTTCTGCAAATCAAGAGCCTTAAAAATATTCAAATTTAATTACTGATTTAGTAATTATATATCTAAGAAGATACAGCTTTATGCACAAAAACGTTTCTGAATGTCCTATTTACAGCAAAAAAAAAAAAAAGAAAGAATAAATGTCCCAAGTGATGGTACAACCAAGTAATAGCACATTTATGTAACCATTAACAAAATGGTATTTACCAGACAGGTAAATCATGACAGCTATAACAATAAATTGTTACAAAAATAAAATGTTGCTGGGCACGGTGGCTCATGCCTGTAATACCAGCACTTTGGGAGGCTGAGGCGGGAGGATCACGAGGTCAGGAGTTCAAGACCAGCCTGACCAACTGAAAGTCTGTCTCTACTAAAAATAAAAAATAAAAAATTAGTGGGGTGTGGTGGTGCATGCCTGTAATCCCAGATACTCGGGAGGCTGAGGCAGGAGAATCACTTGAACCCAGGAAGCAGAGGTTGCGGTGAGCCAAAATCACATCATTGCACTCCAGCCTGAGCAACAAGAGTGAAACTCTGTCTTAAAAAAAAAAAAAAAAAAATATATAGTTTTACATAACCTTGATTATATACACAGTATTTTTTAATTTTTTTTTAAGAGACAGGGTCTCGCTATGTTGCCCAGGCTGTAGTGCAGTGGCTATTCACAGGCGTGATCCCACTACTGATCAGCACAGGAGTTTTGACCTGCTCCTGTTCCGACCTGGGCCGGTTCACCCCTCCTTAGGCAACCTGGTGGTCCCCCGCTCCCAGGAGGTCACCATATTTATGCCGAACTTGGTGCGGACAACCGATCGGCATAGCGCACTACAGCCCAGAACTCCTGGACTCAAGAGGTCCTCCAGCCTCAGCCTCCCGAGTAGCTGGGACTACAGACACGCGCCACCACGCCTGGCACACAATATTAATTTTAAACGGCTGGAAAATGTTGACAGTGGTAACTTCTTTCTGGACAATGTAAATGCTTCTCTGTTTTCTAAGATTTAAACAAAAATGTGAATTACTAGTTTATTAACATTTATTATCGTTAATAACAATAAATTCATATCCAAATTCAACTCTAAGATGAAGAATTAAACAAGGTATAAAACAAACAGTCAAATATATCTTAAGGATATGCGCTAAATATCCCTCCCAAGCATGGGCACTAGCCTCCCACACGACCAGAGACCTTTTTAGCCAATCGCCCTTTAAATATAGTTGTTCAGAGGATTAGGTACATGTGCCTTATATTATGCAAAACAACAGTACCTTAGATCTAGTTTGGAAGTGCCCAAAAGTAGAAGTGGAATTTTGCAATTAAACAGTATTGTTTTAAATTTGCCTTCCTAATGACCACGGTCTGGTCTTCACTGTCCTGCAATGTGCTGGTAAAGAAGGGCACCTTTAAGGCTAATAGGACAGAGGAGAAAAATTGCTTTGCCTTACCAGCTTCTTCCTGGGTCCAGACTCCATGTAATATGCATACGGGTAAGTGTATTGCAGGGTGTATCGACACTGCAACAGGAGAGAAGAGAAGGGACCTGTGTCCGTGATTCTAAGCTACCTGCATCTCAGGTGGCTCTTACAATTCCTACCCCTAGCATGCAAATTAGCCTAGCTCTATAGGTATGGGCCTGAAAGAAATGATACTAAGCCAAATAGAGGATGAACTGGGAAAATACATGGGGAAAAAACAAAAACAATGGTCACAGAACACCCAGACTTTCTTTTACAAACTAATTACCAGCAGCTGCCTCAATCAGAGTCCACACATCTGTCTCAATGCTTACCCAAAGGCAATCTCTTCTCTCTTTTTTTTTTTTTTGAAACGGCCTCGCTCTGTTGCACAGGCTGGAGTGTAGTGGTGCAATCCCCACTCACTGCAACCTCTGCCTCCCAGACTCAAGTGATCCTCCAAGTAGCTGGGACTACAGGTGTGCATCACCACACCAGGCTAATTTTTGTATTTTTTTGTAGAGACAGTGTTTTATCATGTTGCCTAGGCTGGTCTCAAACTCCTGGGCTCAAGCAATTCACCTGCCTTGGCCTTCCAAAGTGCTGGGATCACAGGCACTGTGCCCAATCTTTTTTGTTTGAAACAGAGTCTTGCTCTGTTGCCCAGGCTGGAGTGTAACGGCATGATCTTGGCTCACTGCAGCCTCTGCCTCCAAGGTTCAAGGGATTCTCGTGCCTCAGCCTCCCAAGTAGCTGGGACTACAGGCATGTGCCACCACATCCAGCTAATTTTTGTATTTTTAGTAGAGATGGGATTTCACCATGTTGGCCAGGCTGGTCTCAAACTCCTGACCTCAAGTGATCCACCCTAACCTCAACTGATCCGCCTGCCTCAGCCTCCCAAAGTGCTGGGATTACAGGTGTCAGCCACCATGCCCAACCCTTCAGAGAATCTTTTATTTTCCTTTGGAGTGATGAATACACAGGACAAAGGAGAAGTAAAGGGCTCTAGTTTTCCCTGAAGGCAGAGGCAGTGCAACACTCTTAGAAATCCCTCGGACATCCAGCAGACAACTGGGTCCTTGATGGGCACAGCAAATGAAGATGTGGGTCCACAAGCAGAAGCATGGGAGGCTGCACAGGGTGCTAAAATACCCTCTCCCAACAGGGCTTCCCACCTTCAGAGGTCTGTGCCTGATGGGGCCAGGCACTGGACCAGGGATAGGATGAGTGAAGTGGTAGATACCTTGGCCAAGAGCTTGGCAGCATTCTGTAGGTACTGCCAGTCGATCCATGTCCCCAGATTGTTCATGACCCTCTCCTGAATCTTCTCGTGAATCCGCTGGTATGTCTGTGCCTCTAGCTGCAAGCTTTTGTTGTGGTTTTCCCACTACAGGGCACAGAAGGAAGGAGAAAACCACAGGAGTCCCATGAAGGTGCAGAGGTCTACACAGGAGTTGAGGATAAACACCTTGCTGGCAGGACATGGCCACAGACTCCTCTAACTTATGAAGAATGAGTGCAGGAGCAGGTCTTCTTCAGCCATCCTTCTAACCTGTCCAGAGCAGCTGTATGCCTGCCAGATCACACTACCCTTCTGGGGCAATGGGACTCCAGCCCTGAGGACTATGCAAAGCTAGGCCCCTGATGGTCTACTGTGCTCTTTGGGCTTCTGAAGGGCTCCTTCAGAAAGGAGAAACAGCTTTCCAAACCTGTTTCTACTACTAAGATTACTAATCTGTTTCTAAATCTGACTACTAAGATGATACTATGGGAACAGATTGTGAGGACAAAAAGAAAAAAATGAATAAAAATTTAAAATGTAGAAAAAAGAAAAAAAAAATGGCACTAGATGTAAAAGACTGTCTGATGGCCCTTCACTGTCCTTCAACCAATCATTTGGCTGGGCGCAGTGGCTCACATCTGTAATCCCAGAACTTTGTGAAGCCAAGGTGGGCAGATCACAAGGTCAGGAGTTCAAGACCAGCTGGCCATTATGGCGAAACCCTGTCTCTGCTAAAAATTACAAAAATTAGCCAGGCATGGTGGCAGGCGCCTGTAGTTCTAGCTATTCAGGAGGCTGAGGCAGGAGAATCACTTGAACCTGGGGGGACGGAGGTTGCAGTGAGCCGAGATCATGCCACTGCACTCTGGCCTGGGCAACAGAGCGAGATTCCGTCTCAAAAAAAAAGAAAATAATAATTCATCATTCAACCAAGGTCAGTACCAGGTCCTTCCCTGTTGGCTGGGGATACCCTGTAGAGCTTGAAAGGCACATCTATACAGGCAGCACCCAGGGATACCGCAGGAGCTCCATTCACTGACTTCTATGTGTACAGGCTGGCTCTGGCTACCAGTCCATGGGAATCCCACCCCAACAGGCCAAGTGGAAGACGCCAACCCTGTTGGGGGAGGTACAGAAGAGGATACCTACCCTCTCAAAGTAGAATAAGTACTTCTTGAGGGCTTCCCTTGCCTGGGCTTGTTGGCTCTGGTTCACAATGTCAGGATTCTCCTTGTAACGACTGCACTCATAGTATTCACTGCCATGAGTCTTCCAATCTCCTAGACACATCCAGCAGAAGTCTGTGCAGAACAGAGAAAAGTCATTTACATCTACAAGACAACTCCACTTTCCTCCACAGGCAGAGTGAGACAGACAGACCCAGCTCCAAAGTGGTCACCTGAAAAGAACTTTGCAAGGGTGCCTCTTTCCAGAAGGAATGTGCACCTCTCATCCCTATCACATCCTACTGTCCTTGTAGCCTATACTTGCTGATATGAACAATAGCCTATGGATAATTTCTTTTTTTTTTTTTGAGACAGAGTCTCGCTCTGTTGCTAGGCTAGAGTGCAATGGCGCAATCTCAGCTCACTGCGACCTCTTACTCCCTGGTTCAAGCAATTCTCCAAGTAGTTGGGATTATAGGCACATATCACCACGCCCAGCTAATTTTTGTATTTTTAGTAGAGACAGGGTTTCACCATGTTGGCCAGGCTGGTCTCGAACTCCTGACCTCATGATCTGCCCACCTAGGCCTCCCAAAGTGCTGGGATTACAGACATGAGCCACTCCATGGGCCGCCTATGGATAATTTCTACTCCATCAGCACATGTGGCATGTGCCTTATTAATCCAACACAGGCAGATGCTAACCATACAGACTACTGGTCTGCTATGTCAATGCCACAATGAGAAGCAGGAACTTGTCCAATTGAGGACCACCTGACTGTCTCAACACACATCATCAGTAAAAACTGACCTCCCGACTGCTTCCTACCATCACACTCGTCCTACAAAGGTATTTGTATATGAAGCTAACAATAAAGGCTTTTTCCCCTTTTTTTCTATTTTAAAGAACACATTTCCTATTCTTTTTGAGACGGAGTCTTACTCTGTCCCCCAGGCTGAAGTGCAGTGGTGCGATCTCAGCTCACTGCAACCTCCTCTCAGGTTCAAGCGATTTTCCTGCCTCAGCCTCCAGAGTAGCTGGGATTACAGGCACCCGCCAACACTCCTGGCTAATTTATGTATTTTTAATAGAGATGGGGTTTCACCATGTTGGCCAGACTGGTCTCAAACTCCCAACATTCAGTGATCTGCCCATTTCTGCCTCCCAAAGTGCTGGGATTACACATACGAGGAATGTGCCTGGCAAAGAACACATTTCTATAAAACCAAAAGCTATGCAGTAGTTCATACTCAGAATTATTCTGCTTTGGCTGAGCGCAGTAGCTTACAACTGTAATCCCAGCACTCTGGGAAGCTAAGGAGGGTGGATTACCTGAGGTCAGGAGTTCAAGACCAGTCTGGCCAACATGGTGAAACCCCCATCTCTACTTAAAAAAAAAAAAAATTAGCCAGTACGGTGGCACGATCTTAGCTCACTGTGACCTCTGCCTCCTGGGTTCAAGTGATTCTCATGAAATGGCAGTTAACTCTGAGTGGGACACCCAGGGGGCTTCTTAGGCACTAGAAATGTACTGGGTGCTGGGGTGTTTGTCATTATTCTTTAAACTGTATGTGTCTTTAGCATTGTTCTAAGTCTATGATACACTTCCCTCTCTGATATATACATAGAAAAAGAGAAAGAGTGTGGACCCACAGAAATATGCCACTACCTATGGCCTATCTTCGTTTGGCACTGTGGAGTCAATGTTGCTAAGACGCTGCTATGACCACTCTGATTAAGAGGGGTCTTGGGGCTGGGTGTGGTGGCACATGCCTGTAATCCAGCACTTTGGGAGTCCAAGGTAGGCGGATCACCTGAGGTCATGAGTTTGGGACCAGCCTGGCCAACATGGTGAAATCCCATCTATACTAAGAATACAAAAATCAGCCAGGCGTGGTGGCGGCGCCTCTAATCACAGCTACTGGTGAGGCTGAGGGAGAATCGCTTGAACCCGGGAGATAGGTTCACACCACTGCACACCAGCCTGGGTGACAAGAGCAAAACTCCATCTTTCCAAAAAAAAAAAAAAAAAGGGCCAGGCACGGGGGCTCACGACTTTAATCCCAGCACTTTGGGAGGCCGAGGCAGGTGGATCACCTGAGGTCAGGAGTTTGAGACCAGCCTGGCCAACATGGCGAAACCCCCTCTCTACTAAAAATACAAAAAACTAGCCAGACGTGGTGGGCACCTGTAATCCCAGCTACTCAGAAGGCTGAGATGGGAAAACTGCTTGAACCTGGGAGGCAGAGGTTGCAATGAGCTGAGATTATGCCACTGCACTCCAGCCTGGGAGTGACAGAGACTCTGTCACAAAAGAAAAAGAGAAAAAAGAAAAGAGGGCTCCCGGGAATAGCATTTACACAGGCCCTTACAAAGATAAACTCTCGGCTGGGCACAGTGGCTCACTCCTATAATCTCAGCACTTCGGGAGGCCAAGGCAGGTGGATCACCTGAGATCAGGACTGGCCAACGTGGCAAAACCCATCTCTACTAAAGATACAAAAATTAGCTGGGTGTGGTGGCACATGCCTGTAATCCCAGCTACTCAAGAGGCTGAGGCAAGAGAATCACTGGGCAACAGAGAGAGACTCTGTCTCCAAAAAAAAAAAAAGTAGAAACTCTCAGGGGCTCCTGATGAGCATCAAAGCAGCTGTGTAGGAGACCTACTTGGACATATTTTCTACTTTAACGGATTCTGTTTCTTCAGTTGACCTGGCAGGAAGGCATGCAAAACCAATTGGTTCTAGCTATATAAACTACTCCTGATCGATAAAGGAGGTCTGAAACGCTAAATCAAAACTCCCTCTATAAACTTTGTAAAACAGCAAGGGAAAACCATTATTTTACTACCTCTGGTAAAGGTATCTCTAAGGTAGCACAGATAAGCCTCAAGCTACTTACCAGCCTTGGCAAAAAGAATGAAAGCAATACCCTGAAATCATCTTCTTGGATGACTGAGGATCATGAGGATTATCCCAAACTTGACTTCTGACTATATGTGTTAGCAAGATAGTAATGGGGTTATAAGAGGGACCAAAAAATAAAATAAAATAAGCTACTTTATGCCAGTTATTGTGACTCTAAGTGACTGAGGCTCTTCTATGTTTTGTCATTTCAGGGCAGAAGTACTCACTTAAATAGTAACGAAGACCCAAGCACAAGAAAATGCCACTGGGCCTTACATACCAAGCTTGGAACTCACCGTGTTTACATTTGGAGCATTGCTGTCAGAGGGAAACAGAAGAGAACATGTTAAGGGCACACTGACCAAAGTCTCCATGTCACACATGCAAAGTATACAGGCTTCTGCTTACCATATGATTGCAGCCTCCATTCTTCTCAATGCAGATGTTGCACTTGGGACACTGGGGAGACAGAAGGGTGCCATTAGGCTCATACACCACTGGGCTGGTTTTAAGACAAATTATACAAAGCTCCTGGCACCTGTGCCCAGTCGCTCATCATGTGAGCACTTCTGGGGAGGAGCATCTCACTTAAATGTGGCAGGTCACTGAGGCTGGAACAGCAATTCAAGGAAATGAGGTCAGCATATTTGGCTTTGAAACATTTCAAGCACCAGCTGAGCCCCACTAAGTCTTCCAACATCTGCCCCTGCCATGAAGCTGCTCAGATTAAGCACAGGCTGAATCAGCAGAAAGCCTGCCTACTTGAGAGGACTGCCAAGGAAGCACAGGAGCTGCCGCAATTGATTCAGTCCTTGTCAGCTTGCCTGGACTTCTGCTTCGAGAAGAGGGCAAGGAATCCACATCTAAAGCTCCTCTCTCTCATTTGAGAGATGCCAGCAACCTGAGGCAGCAATGCAGAGACCAATCTGATTCTGTGATCTTACACTGCTGTGAAGTAGACTATGTTTAATGATGTCGTTATTACAGCCGAGCTTGTGAGTGCACTAACTCGGTGACTGACTGACAAAGGGTACAGTGGCCTCTAGAGCCTGCAGGCCATATTTTCCCATGGAAAACTTCAAAATGAGTATTGTGCAGGTCTGGGCTTGCATTATTACAGCCTTACGATGCACCAGGTGTGGCTATTAACCACCTCCTTCCCAAGGCTGTTAACGGCTGGTAGGCATTCAATCATAATTAGCTCTCTTCTAATTAGTTCCCCCTTTGGGTCAAACTTTCCTGGAATTTTGGCATTTCATAATTTTTAAAAATGCACCCAATGCATCTGATGATAAACTGCTAAAAGCTGCCAACTCTGCGTGAGGGTCCTCAACCCCCAGTCCTCAGGATGGGCCCTGGGGCTCTGAGTATTCTGTTCTCAGATGGCAAATCTCCAAGGCAAGGCCCTGGGCACCACTAAAGAGGGCAGATCCATGAGAGGTAAAATATGGTCCTTACGTCTTTAGTGTGAGCACTAATGTAGTTGGCTGTTTCAGAGTCGTCTGCACACTTGGTGAGCCATTTCCGGATAGTGGCGCAGTCTGTGGGTGCATGATACATCTGACGACACTTGAAACTTAAAAATTGGAAAAGAAAAACATTCAAATATTCATTAAGTCAGGGTCCCATGTTTAAAATTTTCCTTTTATCCAAACCAACAAATCATGAATTAGAGTTGTTTTTTTTTTTGTTTGAAACAGAGTCTCACTCCATTGCCAGGCTGGCATATAGTGGCACGATCTCGGCTCATTGCAACCTCCGTCTCCCGGGTTCAAGCGATTCTCCTGCTTCAGCCTCCCAAGTAGCTAGGACTACAGGTGTGTGGCACCACACTCAACTAATTTTTGTATTTTTAGTAGAGATGGAGTTTTACCATGTTGGCCAGGATGGTCTTGATCTCTTGACCTAGTTAGTGATCCACCTACCTTGGGCTCCCAAAGTGCTGGGATTACAGGTGTGAGGCACCATGCCCAGCCTAGAGCTTTTCAAATAGATAAAGTTATCTCTCAAGGCCTATGGGACCTTTACTTTCCTAGGATTATACTGAAACAGCTGCATGAATGTCTTTTCATTTAAGTCCTTATAGACATGCTCTAACATGCACAAATGAAATGTGTCTATAGGCTGAGTGCAGTGGTTCATGCTTGTAATCCTAGCACTTTGGGAGGCCAAGGTGGGAGGACTGCTCGAGCCCAGGAGTTTGAAACCAGCCTGGGCAACATGATGAGACTTCATCTCTACAAAAAAATAAAAAATTATCCAGGTGTGGTGTTATGTGCCTGTAGTCCCAGCTACTAGAGAGTCTAGGGAAGGAGGATCACTTGAGCTCTGGAGGTCAAGGATGCAGTGAGCTATGTTCGTATCATTGCACTCCAGTGTGGGCAAAAGAGAGAGACCCTGTCTCAAAAAGAACAAAAAAAAATCTGTTGACCAGGTGCAGAAGTTCACACCTATAATCTCAGCACTTTGTGGGCCAAGGTGGGAGGACTGCTTTAGACCAGGAGTTTGACACCAACATAGGGAAATAAGGAGACCTTGTCTCTACAATTTTTTTTTTTTTTTTTTTTGAGACGGAGTTTTGCTCTTGTCACCCAGGCTGAAGTGCAATGGCATGATCTCAGCTCACTGCAACGTCTGCTTTCCAGGTTCAAGTGATTTTCCTGCCTCAGCCTCCTGAGTAGCTGAGATTACAGGTGCCTGCCACCACGCCTGGCTATTTTTTGTATTTTTAGTAGAGACAGGCTTTCACCATGTTGGCCCGGCTAGTCTTGAACTCCTGACCTCAGGTGATCTGCCCACCTTGGCCTACCAAAGTGCTGGGGTCACAGGTGTGAGCCACTGCGCCTGACCCCTACAACAAATTTAAAAAAATTGGCTGGACACCTGTAGTTCCAGTTACTTGGGTGGCTAAGGCACGCTTCAGCCCAGGGGTTTGAGGCTGCAGTGAGCGACCATCACTTCACTGTACTCTAGCCTTGGCCACACAGAGAGACCATGTCTCTTAAAAATATATATATACTTCTGGCCAGGCGCAGTGGCTCACGCCTGTAATCCCAGCACTTTGGGAGCCCAAGGTGGGTGGATCATGAGGTCAAGAGATCGAGACCATCCTGGCCAACATGGTGAAACCCCATCTCTACTAAAAAATACAAAAATTAGCTGGGCATGGTGGTGTGTGCCTGTAGTCCCAGCTACTCGGGAGGCTGAGGCAGGAGAATTGCTTGAACCCGGGAGGCAGGGGTTGCAGTGAGCCGAGATTGCACCACTGCACTCCAGTTTGGTTCCTAGTGACAGAACAAGACTCTGTCTTAAAAAATATATATATTTCTGTTTAAACATCTTGTTTATCAGCCCCCAGATGTCAAACACAGGGCTATGACTCTCAAAGGGCATGGTGAGGTACTCTGAGAAGGATTCCTTAGTTCAGACCTAAGGCAGGACTGCGATCCACTTCTGGGAGTCTCATCTGATCTCCCAGCCAGACGTGCACACAAGGATGCACAAATGCCAGAACCTGCAAAATCTGTAGGGTCATGATACATCTGATGACCCTGAAATTTAAAACAGAAAAGAAAGACACTCCAATATGTTGGGCTAGGCTTCCATATTTTCAATTTTTGTTTGAAAAGGCCCTCAGGCAGATACCCAGGGAAAGGAGTTGATAAAGTGGGACACAAGGATAAAGAACAACTACAAAGTCTCTCTCTCTGAATCTGCTGTAATCCTGGGGCTGCCTAATTTAAAATGAAAAACAACAACAACAACAACAAAAAAAAAAAAAAAAGAAAAAGAAAAAAAATCTACATTAAAATCCTTTGGTGGAATGCTTTACACTTTCCAAAGAACAGAAACTAAAATAACCTGTTATACAATTAGTCACAAATACAGTCCTCGAGTTTTTTGCCCATACACATGAGTATTTGTCTAAATCATGTCTTCTTTGTAGCAGCTAGGCCCTGCCACCACTGTGCTTGGCTGAGTTCACAAATCTGTTGTAACCTGTAGCTTCCCTGTCACTTCTCTGGCTCTCCTCTCCTGCTAAGCTTTGTTTCCTAATTAAAATCTTCTGCCACTGCCATAGCTACTGCTGCTACTGGAACCACCATAGCCACCTTGGTTTCGTGGTTTGGCAAAGTATTGGCCACCACCACCATAGGGGCCAGAGCTTCTGCCTCCAGTTTCCTCCCTTTATGGGTCCAAAATTTGAAGACTGATTGTTGTAACTGCCAAAATCATTGTAGCTTCCACCACCTCCAAAATTGCCTCCATCATTACCAAATCCATTATAGCCATCCCCACTGCCACCATATCCACCACCACCACGGCTGCCACCAAAGCCACCACGACCACTGAAGTTTCCTCCGCGACCAAAGTTGTCATTCCCACCGAAACCACCTCCATGACCACCACCAAAGTTTCCAGAACCACTTCGACCTCTTTGGCTGGATGAAGCACTAGCCATCTCTTGCTTTGACAGGGCTTTCCTAACTTCACAGTTGTGGCCATTCACAGTATGGTATTTCTGAATGACAATCTTATCCACGGAGTCATGGTCATCAAAGGTTACAAAGGCAAAGCCCCTTTTCTTGCCACTGCCTCTCTCAGTCATGATTTCAATCACTTCAATTTTTCCATACTATTCAAAATAATCTCTTAGGTGATGTTCTTCAGTGTCTTCTTCAATGCCACCAATGAATTTTTTTTTCACAGTTAAGTGGGCACCTGGTCTTTGAGAATCTTCTCTTGAGACAGCTCTCTTTGGTTCCACAACTCTTCCATCCACTTTGTGTGGCCTTGCGTTCATGGCTGCATCCACTTCCTCCACAGTTGCATACGTGACGAACCCAAAGCCCCTGGAGCGCTTGGTGTTTGGATCTCTCATTACCACATAGTCTGTGAGCGTTCCCCATTGCTCAAAATGGCTCCTCAGGCTCTCATCGGTTGTTTCAAAGCTCAACCCTCCAATGAAGAGCTTCCTCAGCTGTTCCGGCTCTTTAGGAGACTCTGACTTAGACATGATCGCAGGGAGAAGAGAGACTTTAACGATGCTTCTTCGGTGGCGTCCACGGGCAAAAAGGAGCAAACTCACATTAGTGATTCTTAACCTTTGGTGTCAATGTCTTGAAATGCAGGTGCACACACACATTACATCTTCCATGCAGTTTCTCTGAAGCCCCATCATGAATACTCCAGGTAAGTGTGATTAGGACAGATCTGGGCCTAAATTATGGCTCCACCATTTACTAGGTTTACCTTGCACCTTGATTTCTTCATAGAATTTAAGGGTCATGGCCAGGCGGCTCAGGCCTATAATCCCAGCACTTTGGGACGCCAAGGCAGGCAGATCATGAGGTCAGGAGTTCGAGACCAGCCTGGCCAACACAGTGAAACCCCTTCTCTACTAAAAATACAAAAATTAGCCAGGTTTGGTGACACGTGCCTGTAGTCCCAGCTACTCAGAAAGCTGAGGCAGGAGAATCACTTGAACCTGGGAGGCAGAGGCTGTGATGAGCAGAGATCACACCACTACACTCCAGCCTGGGCAACAGAGCAAGGCTCTGTCTAAAAAAAAAAAAAAAAAAGACTATAAGGGTAATATACAGTTTTGATAATGCAGGAAAAGCGATCAGAGGATAGTGCCTGTCACCTGGTAAGCCTTCAGTAAACTGTAGTTATCCCCATGATATGTACTGAATCAAGTGAACCCTGAGTAGATGTAGAATATATTTATGACTTAGTTTTATAAAAAATTAGCCAAGAAGGCTGGGCATGGTGGCTCACGCCTATAATCCCAGCACTTTGGGAGTCCGAGGCAGGCAGATCATGAGGTCAGGAGACCATTCTGGTCAACATGGTAAAACCCTGTTTTTACTAAAAATAAAAAAATTAGCTGGGTGTGGTGGTGCTCGCCTGTAGTCCCAGCTACTCTGGAGGCTGAGGCAGGAGAATTGCTTGAACCCAGGAGGTGGAGGTTGCAGTGAGCCGAGACTGCACCACTGCACTCCAGCATGGATGACAGAGTGAGATCCCATCTCAAAATAAATAAATAAATAAAAAATAATAAAAATTAGCCAAGAAAGACCAAGACAGAGAAAGATTAAAATGTTGAAGATTGTACCTTTCAAACACAGTAATATGTGATTAGCTATGCAGGTAGATACATCCTCATACAATCTCTGGGCCATGAGACTTAGTAGCATAAACCACAACACATTTTCCAAGAACCTGTGACACTTCATCGTCTCCAGACTGAGCATGTATTGAACACCTAGTGGAATATGAGATGCTGGGCACAAACCTACCCACTTGGAGCACAGCTGCTCTGTTGGCTCAGAGACCCTGCCTCTCCCAGTGCTGCACTCACATGGAATAGCAGTGGTGCTTTGGAGGAGGATGGGGCACAAGCCCAGGGCTGCTCAGCACTCACACTCACTCTTACCAGAAGACCTCGTTGCACCGATTGCACTGTACTCGGCGAGCTCTAGGCTCCTGTACCCGAATAACCATGGGGCAGTCTGCACCAGGGCACAGCTGGAGTTGGTAATGACTCTGTGAACAGACCAAGGGGAAACAATGAGGACACTCTTAGTTGCTGTCTACAAATTAGAATGCCCTGAATATTCAAACATTTTCTGTTTTCCCAGCTCATGACTTCTATTAAGGGGCTATATGAATTCAGAAGGTATGTCACGAAGACCAAACATAAGCCAGATATTAAAGAGGAACTTTGGGCCGGGCGCGGTGGCTCAAGCCTGTAATCCCAGCACTTTGGGAGGCCGAGGCGGGTGGATCACGAGGTCAAGAGATCGAGACCATCCTGGTCAACATGGTGAAACCCCGTCTCTACTAAAAATACAAAAATTCAGCTGGGCATGGTGGCGTGTGCCTGTAATCCCAGCTACTCAGGAGGCTGAGGCAGGAGAATTGCCTGAACCCAGGAGGCGGAGGTTGCGGTGAGCCGAGATCGCGCCATTGCACTCCAGCCTGGGTAACAAGAGCGAAACTCCATCTCAAAAAAAAAAAAA